ATGTTCAAGATCTTGACTTCTTGAAATTTCTTGAATTCTTATATTTTCTTACCAAGATCTTGAATCAAGATCTTACTGAAAAAATTCAAGAAGTCAAGATCTTGGTTACAAGAAGTTTCACTAGGGTCAAGTTCTTTCTGTTTTAATGGATACAATGAGCACTTCACCTAACATCATGTGCCGTCTATTTGAATTACCATTAATCTCCAGTACTTGGGAATTTATCCAAAATAAATATCGTCAACAAAAAGAGCAATATCCTCTTCTCAAATACACATTAATAGTGCCTGAGCAAACAACCATTTTAATAAACAAACAGTTTATTCAACCAATTTATATTCGTCATCGACACAAAGGTAAGTGGCAGATTAAAATATTTTTTTATAAATTTATAGAAAGTGTTATCTTTGTTTTAGTTAATGATGTGGACACATTTTTATGTCATCAATTAGAAACTATCAAATGTTATTGTCCAATACTACAAAAAACAAAAGATCAAGTCACTATAGTGATTTAGTGATGGCGTATTCTATTTCAAACTCAATACGCTTCATATCCATCTACAGTTCTTTTATACATTGTTGAAGGTGAATAAAGTCGATTCAATATAAAAAACAATTAGTTATTTTTTTTCAATCTGTTTTTTAGGAATTAGACAAGATTATTGACATTGATGCCCTGTATTATTTACTATGCTGTTTAAAATTGTTAATCTTAAATGATGAATGTTTAGAAACAGCAGCCAAAGATAACAGAGGATTTTTAACATATTGTCTGGAAAAATTACTTGTACACCAGTAAGTATTCAAATCTAAAAAAACGAAATATTTAACCTTTTCCCACAAAATATTAAGTATAACGTACTTGAACGGATTCTGATTCATCTTAAAAATTTCATCTGTTTTTCTCTAGTATTTGGAAAATTCTTAGTCTTGGTCATGATCATTTAAATGAATGTTGTGTTCCATTACTATTACACGCTTTAAGTTATGAATCTGGCAAAACAGCATTGTGAAACTCGATCGTCAGCCAGTAAGTTGTTTTAGCTGTTTCAATTGCGTACACTTGTAACTGATCTGATAATAACTGAAAAATTAGGAATACAAAATATTTTTAATTTAAGCTACTCGTGTTATATCATTAACTCAATTATTGAAACCAAAATTTGTTAAAAATAACTACAATATTTTATCTGTATTAGCGTTTTCATTTATGAATCTAATTGCATCTATCGAAGATACTGAACCGACTGTTAGTCAAAAATCGGTGTTTTCTTGAAACACTATCCGATTTAGCTCTGCGTACCGTTATGTGATGTGTGCACTTGAAATTCAATTGGATACAGTGATTAGTGATCGTTCTCTCATTATCCATCGTCTGTCGAAATTATATTTAATTTTACTCCAACAAAACAAACAACAGTCTACAACAGCAAAAGGTGTTTTCAGTTGGGAATTTTTCTTGAATCGATTTGATACCCTATCATTAGAATCACAAATTAATCTAGAAGAATCGGGTGATATTGTTTCGCCACAATCCATTGGTGGATTTAATACAGAGTGACCATTTTATTCGAAAATTAAATCAAATATATTTTTAATTTATGTGTGCCACTTGTTGTCAAACCTGTCAATTGTTTCTCTTCTCAATTTTTTTTCATTTCTACGTGTTTGGTTTGTTTACTTGTCTAAACGTTGAACATATTTAATGCTGTATATAAAAAAATCCTCCTGTCATATAATCAAATTAGTCATTGCGATTATTGTTATTTCGTTTGTAGAATGTTCTTGTTATGATTTTCATTGATAAATTTTCTTTAAATAAATACTTGTCTGTCCTACTCTGGAAGAATGAGCTCTCCTGTTATCAGGAATGGGTTTTGATTCTTCCAAGGATAGGTAAGCTAGAGAATAAGCGTCTTATAAGTTAAACTATATCATCTAGTTTACAGTTCATTTTTGTTTACAAAACAGCAAACGAACAGCATCTCCTTCTGTGGCTGACGATTACAACCAGCTGGCTACAGCCATTAAACCGTCTTACAGTTTCTCATTGGCCGATTCTTGAATCAGTAAAGTTACAGTGAGCTGCTTGTGCGGATTAAAAATGTCATTTGGATGGCTTCCTAGATAATGATTCGGCAGTGGAAGTCAGCCATTGCTCCGGCTTTATGAAATGACCAGATTAATGGCTGACTTTAAGCTGTTGCAGTAGCTTACTGAATTGGCAGTGTGGTGTGTGCTCACGTTGCAATGTACGGACACATATATGTACCGTACGTTGCAACGTGAGCACACACTATATATAACGTGAATAAGAAAAGAAGATAGAAAAGAAAATCGCTATTGAGGAAAGGAACAGAATAAATGAGAAATATACTTATCTGTTCTTATGTGCTGATGGCAAAATGGATTAAATACTACGCTTACGATAAGCGAGTGCCGAGGTTCGAACTCGTTAGAGAGCAAAATTTTTGTTTTTTTCTCCTTTATTCTGCTGCTTTATTTAAATTTTTTTGCTGGAGTGTTGGACATGTGTCAGAGCCAAATTAGTACCCGATCTACTCAGTCGACCATGGGCTACAAAGCTCCACTAGTCCCAGATTGGCGACACCTCAAGAAAGAAAAACCTGTACGTTGATATGCTTACAAATATATTTCTTTTTTTGGGAGTAACAAATATTTCTTTGAGCTTAGTAGTCTTCTGCAGATCAAAATACACAACTCTATTGTGCAGATGTCGAATGCAACTGAGGCGCACCGAATCAGCTAGAGCTGTTACCTATCACACAAAAGACTGCTATGCATTAATAACAATAACTTATATCTTAGTTCAATGTTCCTTAACAAACAACAAGTTTTTTTACCCTAGGCAGCCATTGTATCACTTAATTTTAACTTAGCTGTAACAAGGAACTAGTTTATAGAGTTAAATTATTCTCACTGAATTCAACGCCTTCAGTTTTAATTTTTAAAAAGTAAACGATTTATACGGAAGATAGCGCAGGAAGAAAGTGAACTAGTTTTTTAATTAACGACGAAGACTAGAAAAAAGAAAAGAGTTTATAGTTTAAGTTGGAAGGACGTCTGAGTTGTCATTTTATAAAAGAATCTTTTTACCTCTTCATACTTGCACAATTATTAACGAAACTTCACATTCTTTTGGCGTGGTTGAACCGTTTTTGTTGTAATTTCGGTTATTTTTTTAACCTGTCGAAGGTCTGTTAGCTCTCTGATGCTGAAAACGACTAGTAATCACGAGAAATGAGATCAGTCCCACACCTCTATGAATAAGCCGAGACCAGTGTCTAGTGGGTTCTGGAGAAGCTAAACAAAATCTGCTGCGAGAGAGAAATCACCAACCTGTGTCAATGGGTATGAAAGCGATATTGTATCTCTTTAATATGTATTTATTATAAGCAGAATGAATATAACAATGAAACAGTTTGAATATATATATAAAAATGAAAAAGAGTAAAACAAAATCTTCACAGACAGACTAGTTTATAAATAGAGAAGAAAGAAGATCCGTCCACTTGAGCAAAGAAAAAAGTATATGTTAACTAAAAACGAAATATATGAAATAACAAAAGAGAGAGAGAGAGAAACCATTATATTACATCATATATAACAACTTATGGACTAGCACATGGTCTAACAGCTAGGACATAACAAGGTCCCCTGTTACAATTCTTTCTACTGTTTTTAATTTTGAAGTCCGATGTACTACTGGTTGATCAGCTCTATAAAATTCTAGTGTTCATTTCTGACTTCGTACGCAGTAACATAATACCAAATATATAGTTGATAAAAGAAGGGATATCATCTCTAACAATAATACATAATGGTTGCCAAAATATGTCGATGAAAGATGCATGAAAAATAGACAACCCGCTATCATAATGGGTAAACCAATATCTACCGGAAATTCAAAATGGAAAAATCGCCTTACTTTAAAGGCTCGAACAGCATGGTAGTTTAAAGCACCGGTAATTGTTACGACCAGGTAAACAAACTGTGCGGTTGTTCGTGCGTGCACCAAGAATAAATTACTCAACGCCCAATGATAAGCCAAGGCTGACCCGATTATCAATAGAGTAATAACTGATATTAAAACCCAAAAAATAAGTAGAACTAACGCTTTAAACATCATAAAATTTTATTTTTCGAATATAAGAAAAAATGGATATTTTGTTCTAAATGACCTGAAAATATCACAAACATCCAATATGTAAGAGCGATCATATACAGTTTCGTCCTAAACCACGCTCGTATCACTACTGTATATATTTTACTGCTGGGTCATTTCATAATTGAAATGTTTGATCCATCATTAGACTCAATGGCAGATCCCATCATGCAAAAAAGTTTCACATTCTGGCTGCATTCTATTCTGTAGTTTCTTCCGTTGGAAAATCTCACACCCTCAGAGCTCCTACTTCTGTCATTCACACCAACACGTTCAAAGTTTTAAAATATTCCACTACTTACTGTAATTTAAAATAATACTCTATCGACGTTCACGTTTTGTCTAAAAAGCAAAAATGTAGCTCTTTCTGGTGAATATATAATGTGTGTGTGCAAGAAAATTCGGACTGAAAATAGTTAACAAGTAAAAGCAGATTATTTCAACAACAATAAAAAGTTCGTTAACAAGAGAAAGGAAGAGAGAGACAATTTCAAGATTTCTTTTGTTTTGTTATTATTCAGTTTCGTCTATTAACAGATCGGATTATTCGTCGTTTTCTTCCCTTTTTTGTCTGAGATCCCGTCCTTACATAATGTCATACATACAAATGTTGTTGCTCTTTCTGTGCTATATACTCGATTGTAAAGATAGAGTTCTGTGTATGTACTGTTACAAGTGGTCATTTTTTTTTTTGTAAATTTGGAAAAAGGTCAATGTGTGCCGATATATGTATTTCTATCTCTAAGGCTTTACATGGTTAAATTGATATCACTTGATAATTATCATTCTTCTGTCGTTCCCTATCAAGACTCATTTTGTTGTGAAGTTTTTCTCTTGATCACATTCTTTTACGCGAGAAATAAAGTATTTTATGTTTACGTGAAATATAGAAAACGATAATATTCTCAGCATCGGATTTGTGGGGAACATAGTGAAGAAACCAAATGGAATGGTAGTCTCTAGAACACAGAACGAAGAAAACTGCAGAACGGATTGCTATTTCGCTAAAATGTATCAACTTAGTCTCCTAGGTATCGGTTAAGCCTTGTAGAAAGTCTCTTAAGAGAAACCGAAAAGATTGTCCTGTTTAATCTTGGATAATTAGTTATGTGTTCAATCAATAGTCGATATGAATTATTGTCTTCTATTATAGCTTTAAATCCGTTGTAGTCACTAATACGTTTGTGGAGAGCCGCTCGAAATTTAAAAAAATTGTTAGCAGCACCACAAAATGAAAGAGAAACACTGTCATGAGATTCGATACTGTCGGTTACTAAAAGTTCATTACCTGAAGAAATTGTTGCCATGTTTACATCTGCTAAACTAGAAGGCAGATTGGATATGGTGTGAAACGATTTTTTATTATACTTTGTCATAAAATGTTCTGAAAGCACTTATATCTTATAAAGACCCGATGAATAAGTACTGAAATCTGATTCTTTTCACACAAAAATGGAAAACTGCGTCGAATTATAAGCTGGAAAAATAATTTTGGAATAGAAAATCTGTGGAGAAGTTAGTTAGCTCCCACAATCTGATTTTCCAAAATATTTTTCTCTCCGAAAACAGTTCCAGCGATTTTCGTACAAATATTCATTGAACATAAGATAACCAAAATTATGCTCTTCTGACAAAAAAGCTTTTACCAAAACAACGGGCTAATGAGAATTGAAGACAAATCTCGATAAATCATTCTATGTGAGAATTCATTGTGAAGCATGCCATTCGACGCAGTTTTTTACACTGATTTACGGGGCTCATTGACTAAAAGTTAAAAATAGGCGGGAAAAAGAACTGGTGACAAAGATCTACTTTCTTTGCACTAAACTACTGTGTTACGGACCTATCTTGATTCTCTCATGTTGGATCAGGTATAGGTAAAGAAAAACAGAATGGAAAAGCTGATTAGTAGATTAGTATTATTCGATTATAATTTTTTCCTAAAGGGTTGCTAAAGAGGATTTAGGAGGCTGTTATACAGCATTGTCCATTACATATGTGACGGTATTTATCTCGAAAGGGCCATCCCGTTTTGAAAATTCATTACTGTGTGATCAGAACAAACACCTCAATAGTGCAAATATCGTATGCATCTGAAGCGCATCGAATCAGCAAAGAAGTTGTTTATTCATCCCACACAAAGAGAGATTAATAAGACTTGTTTAAAATTATTAATTAAATATCGTAACCTAATCTGTCCACTCTACATTCTGTTCTTTAACTAGAAAAGTAGAAGGCATTGCTCAAAGACATGCACATAGAAAAAGAGAAGAGGAGAGCTCAAATACTCCCACACAGGAACATAGGAGATTACTAAATAATAACTGAACGTCGATGAATTCTTGTGTAGCGATTTCTATATAGGAGAAGAATGAAAAATAAAAATTTTTGATATTCATCTCTTGAAAATAAAGTGTTTCTAAAGGCAGTTCAGATACTGAGTTCATCATGTTTTATCCGGTTATCTCTTCAGAAACATAATGCGATCAAGGTGAATTGTTCAACACAGACTCCTCGAAGTCTTCAGATATGATACATTTTCCTAGAAGCAAAACTCGTTTTTGAGCTACACGAAATGTCTGAAGAAAACTGCAACTATGTCGCAGTAAAGTAAACAGGATTTATATTCTCTCACTCACTGTAACTATTGTGTACTTACTTTGTAAATATTGATTTAATTCTGCTTTCAAAAAGTTAAAAAAGCAGATATGAACTATAAGCAGAAGTAAGCAATAAGTGACTAATATAACAAACACTGTTTTTTCGCCTCATTTAAATGAGAAGAAAAATGTTGGTTGGTATCGTCGATCTCACACGTGGCCGCCATCTAAGTCTATGTACTATACATAAAATTCTTTCAAAAGTGTTTGAAGAGTATATATGTTCGTCGTGAAGTTTACATAGGACGAAATACGCGTGTATCATGTAAGCCAAATAAAAAAACATCGAATGATAAATGTTGGCTCACTAGTCGACGTTCTTGAAGATATTCTGTAAGGATTCTTGCGTAGTATAAATTGTTGTCTATAGTGATGATCAGATAGTTAAGAGTCAGTTAAGAGTAGAACTGTCTGCTGTTTATTCCTAAAATCTTAAAAGATTGAGGAGTGGAAGAAAATAACCTTATTCAGGGGCGTAGCTCGGTCCAAAATGCAGGGGGGTGGCATCTAAACACAATTTTTCAGTGGTACAAAAAAAATGTTTTCTCAAAATTTTCACCAAAAATTAAAATTAGTAGTTTTGAAAAGCAGGGGCATGTCGCATCCCTCCCCGCTCCCCCAGTATTTGCGCCTCTGATTTTATTGAAAGATTTTAACCCAATGTATGAAAGAGAAGCTTGGTATGTGCATTTAGTCTTTCACGATTTCTTGATTATATGTAAGTTTTCTTCTTTTTTAAACGTCGTAAGACGTAAAAAGATTAATATGTTAAAACGTCAAGTGTATCCGGAAGTGCAGTTCAGTCTGTTTTTTTATGAGGAACGTTTTGTACTCCTTCTTAGTTTATGGAAATGAGTTTCACTTTTTTCATTAGCCAAGTGCATTAGTGGATGACCCACTGGCTTTTTGTTGCATGAGTCATCGCCGTATGGCTGCATACCACGTTATCAGCAAAAAGATTGAGTCACAAATTGTGGCAAAAATATTGTTTGAGAACTCTGATGTAATGATGTAAAGGCATAGTTGAGTGGGAAAACAATGGAGTAAGAAGAGGACAGAGAAGAGTTCGTACTTGAAGTTATTTGAAGATTGAATATCAAAACATTAGATTAGTTATTTAGTAAAAAGAATATAATCAGTACGAAAGGTATTTCAGTGAATAAAATATCTAAGCTATACTGAAATGTGCCCTTTAAACGCTGTAGTTTGCAATGGGATATTTTAGATAATAATCTACACCTAACATTTATTTGTCATGTAAAAAATACTAGCTAAAAAGGTCGTTTATTTCAGTTAATTGAATCGAGTTAGATACGTTTTCTGATTCCATCAATTGTTCAAGTTTTTGAGTATCACCAAGTAGTTCCGTTAAGCGTTTTCGTCCTTTATTGACAATAAATGACCACATTGGTTTGAACAAAACGAATTTTGTTTCCAAAACAGCAATGACTAACGCTGATGTCAAAACGATCGGGTCAGTGCTGGTATCTGGGTGAAACGACGATAACGGCTTTTTACAAAGTTTTTGAATCTCTTCATCGCTGAGAATCCACAAACCATCGAATTTTTGCAAATTAATTAGATGAGGAACAATGTCTTGATCAGACGATGGCCATGTGTCTTTTTTCCTCACAAAAGGAAGAAAGGAAGGTTTATCACCAGCTTCATCGTCATCGCTTATACTAGCCATGGATTCTGAAGATTCAAGATCAGCGAATCATTCTATCGGTGAAGAACAATAACGAAAATAAGTCGCTTCGAAACACATGGTGTTTGAGACTGGAGACTGGATCGAGGAGTTCAACATCCTTTGTGGAGCTGCACCATCCACAAATGGCACATCAAAATGTTTAGCGTCAGCGGTTATTTCAATCGGGATTTCTCTTAGAACCATGTTCGCGTTTTGATTCTTAGCAGATGGATCTGTATGTGTTTCAACACCAATGAAACCTGTATGCGGACAGAGGAGGTTGTGTTGTAATGAAATATCAATCATACGTTTCTTATTGCCATCTTCAACGGACCCACCTTTCTGTTCTTGTTGTTGCTGAAATCTTGCTTGTTGAGAACCACAATTCGGTGTTTTCTCTTGTTTTGCATGTGGAAATTCGCGAATCAAAGTTTTAACTACCAAACGAGTTATTGACTGACCGTTATCTGTTTCGGGCACATGATTAATTCGAGCTAAACCTAAACGAACTGTTTCTTCACTGTTTCATAATTGGTTGAATGATCGAATTTGTCCGTATCAACGAGAGCACAAAACAACAGACGATCATTTGCATAAACGGGTGGAACGATAGTAGGGACAGATTGAACATTTCAGGATGAAGGAATATTCCATTTAATTTTTGCATTAGTTATGCACGATTCAAGAACTTTCTGAAGTTGTTCGGCAACGTGTATGTCGACACTTGTTCCGGGCGGGACAAATGTGAATCGACCATATGTCGATCGAGCCAGTCCTTTAACTAAGGAACGACTTGGCGAATGTCCGAGACCGAATGAGAAGATTCTTGCAGACGTTGACATTGATCGACATGGATCTATTACTTCGTTGACATTCGATATTTCTCCATCAGTCAACAGGAATATCTGACGTGAATAACTGACTGTAGTTGCTTGTTTTTCCAACCACTGCAGCGGTTGCAACAGTTCAGTTCCACCGAGATCAGCTTTTATATGAGAAATGAGTTGTTCGGCTTGTTTTGCGTTTTTTTCATTATAAATGTCAGTGATATTGTTGAATAATGTTTTATAACCTGATCCAAATCGTACAATATTAAATCTACAGTTGGTAGGAAGACTTCTAAGAAACAAGATCATTGCTTGCCGAGCGAGGCCGATTTTGTCTTCGTTTTCCATTGAACCACTGCAGTCGACAACAAAAATAAATTCATTGTTCATATCAGTATTGCCTTTGCCAGCACTCAGTGCTTTTTTACAATCTTCCTGTGTAGGTGTGAATGATGCTAGCAATGCAAATTGGCTTTCACTACTCTTTTCAACTGCCAAAATTGTGTTTGTCCGATTAGCGAGCTCAATGTCAACAATAATATCGCGATCGAGATGAGTTTTCTGTTGACTGAGCGACATTTTATACTGGTTGTCAGCATTATTCATCTTCACATTTAGATGGCAATCGGCAAGGATTTCCGTCCAAATAAGATATTTGTCCTTTTCTACAGCGTTGTACAAGTCAGAAAACGACTTGTCTCCGGCAACACAGCGTTTTGGGGGAAATGTACGTAACGTTGTTATCGACTTTTTTTTATTACCCATAAGCAAGTATGTCTTGAGAAAAAGCGACGAATCACTTGGTGAGGTTCCCTCATGCGATTTTAGATATTTCTGTATTAAAAATGATGTGACAATTCACGGTCGGAGCTGAAACAACGAAATAGTTCTCGTATAGAGACATCTTTCTATATTTTCACCGACGTGAATCGAAAAAAGCATTGGAAATCCGACGGGGTAGAACGCGAAAAGCCCAAAATCTGCGCAAGCTCGCCATCCATTTTAACATAGGTCAAGGCTATACCACAGGAACTCTTTGTCACTTTTTTCTATGAAACTAAAGAGCGTCTCTAATCATTCATATATCATTCGATGCGTCATGAAAAGCTCTACAACATCTGAAACAATTAAATCCAAAATGTTCACATTCATCAGTTGTTCAACAAATACCATCGTCAACCCACCATCAATAATACTAAATAATACTACACATGCTGATGCAACAGCAGCCGTACCAATACAACCATCATCATCACGAACAACAACATCAACAGAAACTGATCATTGTAATTATCTTGATAAAACATTCAGTTTATGGTGTAAAAGAAATAAATATTTATCAAAATTAGATGATCCCAATTAATTCAAATAAAGATTATGCAATAACACTAACAAATGTTAAACGTGTCTATGAAGCTAAGATTATATGTACTTGTTTAACATCATTTAAATTATACAAAAATCTTCAGTTTCATCAGTTAACAAGCTATTATGTAAAAAAATATGGATTTATGTCAGAAGATTGCACAAGTGTGATACAAAAAGCACAATACGACAAACCATGTAATGCGTTCGTTGAATTTATTACACCATTAGTTTCTGGTATGCCATCTGTTACTTATTACCAAACAAATTCGCCTGATGAGTTGAAAAGTTGGTTCAAAGGCACTGACAACGCACTATTGTTAAATTCACATGTATTTCAATCAATAACAAAAGATTTAACACACATCATCGGATAGATCAAGTGGTGCTGATCACGAATACGACCTTTTTTTTAATTTTGATAAGGTCTTAGGGTAGAAAATGGCAAAATACGGCGATGAATGCAAAATTCCTAAAATTTTTTCGTTTTCAAAGAACACTCCTAACTTCTTTCTCGCGCACTTCTTGGCCTCATCGTTGTGTTTTCGAATTCCTTATATAAAAATGAATCTAGAAATGTTGTCTAGAACCTTAGCAAGAGGTGCGAGAGAAAACCGTTTGAAAATGGAAAAATTTTAGAGATTTTGCATTCATCCCGTATTTTGCCATTTTCTACCCTAAGACTTTATCAAAATTAAAAAAAAGGTCATATTCGTGATCAGCAATACTAGATCTATCCGATGATGTGTGTTTCAGCCAGAAGAAACAATGTACTGAACTTTTAAATTAGCGGCGCCTTACCAAAATCTTAGTGGTTGTTTTATTTACGTACAAATCAACTATTTATATTCATGCAAGCTCCAATACATCTTTATACTAAATTATGTAATCGATTGTTATACAAAACAAACAGAAATGAGAATAGATGGTCAAAGAATTGAATGAAAATGTTTAGGACAAATAATTAATAATAATTCCATATTGTTTAGTTGAATCAGATTTGTATCCCAAGAACAGACAAAATTTCAATTCTTGTGTTAAAACTTCGTCTCAAAATGTATTGGATTTATTAGAAAAAGATCCAGAAGCTCAATCAGCCTTTGTTTATTTACAATTATTAAATTGTCTAATCAAAGCCTATGTTGATAGTAATACAAATATTGTGGATCGATTGTATTATGCATGGACTGTTATATTTGTTTACAGAGTTTGATGATTTTGATTGAAATTTTATTTAATAAAAGAAAAGTTGCCACAACGAAAATGTGAATATTTTATAACAAAAGTTGCTTAATATTCTATCGAATTAAATGGTCATTTTTTATTGTTTGTTATTTTATTAGTGATAGACCATAAAATACCAGATTATACACTTGTTTAGTTCACAAAAATGTGACACGACATTCCATAATTCAAGAGCAATGAGTGCTATGTGTTCAACAATGGTCAATTTTACAGTTAATGATTTTTTAAATCATGCTGTTAAACTATCAGTTTTAAGTAAAATTAAATCTGGTGATAACTTTATTCATTTTACTATTCATCATAAACATTGAAAAACACCATTTAATTTGATAAATAATAATAATTTTTCTAATTTAACGATAAATGATGTTGAAACAAAATACTTAATGTATTTAAAACAGCAAAAACATTTACTGATAAATTGAAAAGGACCAGATTATTAAAAAGAAATAGTGTGTGTAAATTAAAAGAATTATCATTAATAGTTTATAAAGAACATGAAACAACTAATGTTTATGATTATTCATCATTAAATAATTCTGATTCTGAACCGAAACAAATACAAATGAAAATCATTCTGTTGAAGACGAAAACAAAAAAATAGAGAGCGATCAACTGTTTATTGACGTTTGAAAGTGGAAATGAGTGTGAAGAACATGTTGGACAAAGCAAAGATGAAAAGATTCTTCTAATTGTTTCTGACCGATTAGGAAAAGAGATTGTCTCGAGAATTCATGATTTACCCCAGTTAAGCGCCATTTATGTCTACTGTATGGACAAAAGCACGAATGAAAGATGGACAAAACCTTATAAAGAGGTAAAAGAAATTGTCTTCTGAGCATCAGACACTTGAAGAGAGAAGCAAGCGTTCTCTTTCATCTCTTCAACTGTTACTTTGCTTCTAACACACGGATTGTGAGCCAAGTGAGCAGATGTGTACTGTCCGATATTTCCTTCGAAAACAACCGAATCGTTTTGTGCTGGAAAATTTTTCTTCTTTTCTTTGTGTTCAACTTCTTAGACTAGCAGAAACAAAAGTTAATGGCCTTGGGAAGATTGTCAAATGGAGAAGCAGGCCACTCAGGTACTCCGCGGAGTAAGTGGAATGTCCGGAAGGCCATCGGAGTGTCCGAAGTGGCATCAGAATAAATAGAATTTAACCTTCTATTTTGAGTATATGGTCCTTTATTCATCTCAAATGCGCAAAGAAGAGATAAATGTCTAGTGAATGTTTCCCATTAAAGGGTCCTTTATAACCACTGCTTGTTATTACCGACTGTCGGTTGTTCTTCCAGTATTCAGGAACTTTACTTGAATTCGGTAAACAAAAACGGCGAATTAGATTTGATTAAGAGCGATATAGTATTTCGATTATTTTCTATTTAGCCTTTCTGTTTTAGAAGCTTCTTAGCATGTGGTTTAAGCATGTATGTGTCTTATTCTTAGCTCGTAGTAAAACTTAGAATGTACTTAGGGGAAGGATAAATATCCTGCGTGAAGGAAATACGAAAGTGCATAGAAGTGCTTCAGAACGGTAAAGAAAGGGAAAAAACTATGTCAAGAAATCAGAAATTTTTTTGTGCCCACCTCTCCTAATAATTCTGGCTACGTCGCTGTTACAGAGGGATTTTTATGCATAAAATCAATTCGAATTGAAAGAATTTTTGAAGAAATTATAGATTGTATGAGCTAGAGACTATGTTCAACCAAATTTGCTATGCTCACTTAGCATATGTCGATTTAAACACTAATATTTACGTCGATCATGGTGCGAACAATGAATGTTGATTTAGATACGTATCAATGATCTAGTTACTGGTGTTATAGCAAAATTCTACAAGTCAATAAGATCATTATGTTCGTAGACTCCGCAAAGGATGTGGATCAAAAACATTTTTGTTTTCTTTTTTTCCAGCCATGGTGTTTATTATAATCAAATTACTTTACGATAATTTTATATAAAAATCAACTACCCAATTCTCAAAGGATTTGTATTTCTCTAGCAACCTAAATGGAACAACCTTACTTCGATAGTAGGTGACAGCTCTGCTTTACCTTCAATACCAAAGTATCATACCGGTTTCCTTACATGCGGATTAGGAAGAAATTACTGTCAGCATGCTCATTCTCTATCGTCCAAAAATAATACAACGCGTACTGCGGAGGAAAAAGAAACAAAATTATTCTTCTCTCATCAACGCTCTTGGATGGATTAATAATACAATTAACGTAGATCTAATTACTACGAGCAAAAAACAGCATCTTGATGCTTCTTTTCATCGGTTGTACATCATTTTGATGTAAATATATTGAAGTTATTAACCAAAAACTGTATGATTAAAACCTTTCATCCAACTGAACAAGAGAATCAAGTAATTTTATTTTAACGCTTCATAGAAACAATGTATTCGATGCGTACTTTACATGCAAAAGATGTCAATGATTTTTTGTCATAATAATTATAACATTCTAGCTTTTACTTAATTCGATTGTTCAATACACAATCTTTATGGAAATAGTGTTGTTGAAACTATCACAGAAGCATAACTGTTTTTCTTTCTTTTACAATATAGATTGTTGTATCAAATGTTTTGGTATCGTCCCGATTCGTCGACAAATCGGACACTTCAAAGAATATACATCAAAGAATTTCAAAGGCGGGAGGGGCGGTGTGAGAGTGAGTGTCGGCGAATCGGGACTGAATCAAATGTTTTGTGTAGGTTTATTTAACATTAAAATCAAGTTTTAATTCAATCATGTCGTCTTCATCTATCTTTTCTTATACAGATCGATGTGTGCTGTATGGAGAATATAGATTAGTCATATTGATTTAGAGATACTCATGTATACTAAAACTAACTTTTAATCCTGATTTCATTTCATTTTTCTAAACTTTGATGTTATGTTATGTCATCATATCAACCGTCATATCCTCATATAGAAATCATCTGTTCTATTGCCAATAAGACTTTATTGCAAAGCAAAATATTAGAAAAAATTGCCACACAAGTGCGTGAATAACATAGGTTAGTGAAAATGAATTTCGAAAATATCCATAATTGTTGAGAAAAGAACTTGCATATGCTTATAAATATACGTAAAAGATACTTGTATTGCAAATGAAATCTTTGACAAATGACTCCGTTGTTGAACTGCAGATTTCTTCCACAAAACGGTTGAAGCAATATCGTAAGAATCGCGAATTGACATCATTATTGGTTTTGAAATGAAACAAATTTTTAGACAATTCTTTTCACATTAAGTGATGCATTGATAACGATAACGAACGGTAAATATTTTTTCGATACGAGACCAACCTTTTTCTTGTGTTATACCAGAGAATGGCGGACAAACAATTTCTAAACAAACAAGTGATGACATGTAGAGGAGAAATACGTCTAATAATCAGAAAAATTAGATAATTTAATACACGAATCAAGTTCCAATGATAAATGTTCAACATGACCAAAACAATCTAAAAAACAATAATGAATGAACGTAATCACAATCAAATGGTTATCCAATGCGTACTGGAATTTTCAAATATAAATACATCCTTTACATTAATATATTTCACACATAATTCACGAATACGACTGAATGTCTTAAGTCCGCGAACACAATTCTTCTTAACCCATCCAACCCATTATAACACACCGATAATTTGACGTAAGGGAACCTAGAATGGGGGTACCCCTCAAATACTGGTTCTAGAAAACGAACGCAACAGAACAGAAAAAAATCAATCGCTTC